AAAGTTGACATTTTAAACCTTAATAAAAAATCGATACAGGGCTTTAGAAAATCAATACAGTATCGGGAAATGAAATATCGCGATATTTCAGTGTATCGATATTTTCTTACACCCCTAGACTACACACATGTACGCTGAGATGACGATTCTCATTGTGCAGCTCTAATCACGAGTGGACTTTTTCCTCTTCTTCAAATAAAGATGTTGTGTTTGATTTCTGCCTCGTGTTAAATAACATTAATTCACTGTGATGTTTCGCTGCTTCCTCACAGGTGTCAAAGAACTTCAGCGAGGTTTTCCAGAAGCTGGTGCCAGGAGGCAAAGCTACGCTGGTGATGAAAAAGGGTGATGCTGAAGGCAGCCAGTCCCAGGATGAAGGAGAGGGGGGTACAGATAGCGAGCGGGGTTCTGGTTCACAGAGCAGCGTTCCCTCAGTGGACCAGTTCACTGGAGTCGGCATCAGAGTGAGAACCTTTTTGTTTGATTTCAGAACGTAGGCATTAGTTTATTATACTGAATATACAGCCAATGAAAAGTCCTGCATGTTGCATTGTTCTAATTTAAACCTGTTTCTAAGCCCCTCTGTAATCAAAGGCTGAAAAATGCAAGTTCTACAACATGTTTTTAGTTTCAGTCTGAAGAAAAAAAACTGTACATTTGTCTTATTGAAAAACTCGATCCTTTCTAGTGTAGCCAAGGTGAAGTTAGTCAATGAGTAATACACAGTCCTGTTCTCACTAAATGTATCTGGATCAGTCTGAAAGCTATAAAACACTTTATCTTTGTCCTTCCAGAACAAGGAGTCTAATAATAATTGTAAAACACAGTGAGAATCATGTCTTGCTGTGGCTCTGGCCTGCAGGTGTCCTTCACTGGGAAGCAGGGTGAGATGAGGGAGATGCAGCAGCTGTCAGGAGGCCAGAAGTCTCTGGTAGCTCTGGCTCTGATATTCGCCATCCAGAAGTGTGACCCCGCTCCTTTCTACCTGTTCGATGAGATCGATCAGGCCCTCGACGCTCAGCACAGGAAGGCTGTCTCAGGTAAAGAGCCCGTGTGTGAATGAAGGACAATTTACTTTAATTGGCCTAACATGAAATCTGCTTTTAGTTGGTTCAAACTTACCCTGAAAATGTTATTTTGTGCAAATCCTTTCAAGACTCTTTTTTTTTTAAATTTTCTTTCATGTTTCCTCATCAGTGAATCACCCTCCTCCACCTCACTTCATCTTCATCCGTTGTCCTCTCTAATGGCATCCATATAACCCCACTTAGTCTTTTTCCTGGCAGCTGCATCTCTGACCCTCTTACCAATGAATCCACAGTCTAAATCAGGGGTCCTTAACCTTTTTGACCTCGGGGCCCAATTTATTGAACATAAAGAGGCACGAGGCCCAGTCAGACATTACCAATGCATGGATCAAAAAGATAATTAATCTAAATCTTAGTTTGATTTTTATTGTATTTACATCATAACTAAACTATCATAACTAACATAACTAAATTAAATACACTACAGTTTAAAAGTAAAACTCTTGTGAAATAATCACAAGACATGATTATGACAAACATTTTTATATTGTAACCTGCCCATAACAATTATTAGAACAAATACAATACTTATC